GTTTTAAGTGAACACAATGAAGTGTTTCAAGACTGGGGTAAGTGTCTTTTTTTTTTTTTTTTAGAAATAAAAATATAATCACTCCAATTTACACAAGCTGGGAAGTAAAATTCCTGCTGTACTAAACACTCACACACCAGTATGAAATGTATTACTTCAACTTGCATCTTTTTGTAAAACTGATCAGTATTATAGCCACAAATAGCTTTGCTGTGCACAGCTGAGTAAACTGAGAGCTTCCATGTACTCGTGTTGGTTTATTGACAATGTAGGGTTTGGAGGATTGCTATTTGTATTTCGTTCAGGTCACTACAGGTTACAGTAAGGGACATAATAAAATGTGACTATTTGAATTAGACATCATATACAATAATAATAATAATAATAATAATAAAACATAAGTAATTAATAGCAGAACATCTGGTAAGCTAAACCACCTGCTTCCAAGGATATCAAACAAATGCACACATTCGTAGCTTAAACAACACGGTCAGTTTTCTCTCTGTGGACCAAACCGGCAAAGCACTGCAGCATAATTAGCGGTGTTCACAGCAACAAGCACTCTAAGCATCTTACCTCTATGAGCTGATGCTAAATGCTTTCAAAATGACAAGCATTCAAAGATATTGTGTACCTGCAGGGTTTCAGTTTGGTTCTCTCTGGGTGGAAACAGAACCACGTTTTCTGGAGCGCCCTCTTCTGGCTGTAACGGGGAACAAGACGGTTCACCAAAAGGGGGAAAGCAGCTCAAATGTGTAACCAAGAGAAGCTGGAGTTATGAAGCTTCTTTAATAGTTTAACAATTGTTTTATGTCCATCTTTTTTAAGCTGAGTCACGATTAGCACTGGTGTTGCCTGAGCCTCCCTTAGTGGTACACAAAAGCAATGAATTTCTGTATTTTGTGATTTTAGACATCAGCTAAATATTTAGTAAAGAATGTTTTATAGTACTATGTGTTCAATATTTACTGCAAAACAGGATCTTTTTACAGCAGGTAACACAAGGTTTTATTCCCAAGGCAATTGGTTGTTGTTGTTAGAAAGTTGGAGAACTGCTGGTTTTACATTTTTTCAGGGTTTCTTCAAGTTTCGGTAAATTAAATTTCAGACTTTTTAAGACCCTTATTTAAGACAGACGAATTATGAAACAAATATTACTCAATAATCAGTTATCAACTTCACTTCATCAGGAAAACAGGAGTTAAACCAAATCTTGTTTGGGTATTGGACCTTGATTATAAGCTGGTCATGAGACAAATGATTATTTTAATCCTGTTATATTAATCCAAAACTCTCCACCTAAAGTCTTCCCGTCACGCGAAAATTACTGTTTTGCAATGGATCTTCTTTCTAAGTACAAAACTGTAGCATCAGAATGCAAGTAGGCACATTTTAGTGGCGTTATTAATCAAACTTTAGGAAATCTTTTCAGCCTGTTCAGAAATAAAGCACGATTTTAATACTAATTTTTATTAGAAAAGCTTCTGTTACAGACATCCAAAAGTTAGAGATCACGGAAATTAAGTTAGTTTTGTTAGTCGTCTGTGCTCAGAATATTTTGAGAAATGTAAAGCAGCACAGCGGAGGAGCAAGTAGCAGTCTTGCCCTTACCAATGTCTCAGTAGTGCTGCTCTCGTTCCCCATGGCTCAGCCAGGTGCAGGGCCACAACTGCCCAGACCAAAGGCCTCTCACATCAGCTGGCTGAAAGACACTATGAACAGAGAGACCATCAACATGCGACCGTTCTGGTGCTCAGTACAGAGACAAAATAAAACTGGGGATCTGTGGGCCACTCAACACTTAGAGATTTATGTTCTTGCAGGATTAGGGACCCTTTGGTATGAGCTTGAACGGGAACAGGGTGAGAAGGAATGGAGAATTTGAGCGCAGACTGATGCCAAAACCTGGCTGCAGGGCCAAAGTGCAAGTGGTGGGATTTAAAAAAGTAGGATAATAGCATCATGATCGATAGAAATATTGGGAATGTTTCTGGTGTAGTAAAAAAAAAACAAAAAAAATTCCTAAAATCAGAGCATCTGCAGCCACAATCAGAACTTAAATATTTTAACAAAGTCCTGGCATAAATCTAGATGAATATACCGCAGCTAATCATAAGCTGGAAGACGTTAGATTACCAGATCTACTGTTCACAGTGAAGCCAGTTTCACATCACCATGGACTGAGAGACTACCAACGATGAAAGAATCACCTACTCTACAACCTTCAAACTTGACTGAAATTAGCAGTTTCCCTCACTGACCAACCAAATATCTTCTGGAGTTTTATAGTTCAGATAGGAAAAGATTTAACTATTTGACCACAATGACAAAAAAAACATTTTTGGAGGAGTCAAGGTTAGGACTTTAAAGCTTAAGAACTCTGTACCAACCTGTTGGCAGCATCATGCCAAGAGCCTGTTTTGCTATCAGTGGTTATGAAGTGTTGTACAAAGTGGATGGGATAACCAGGAGGGAGGACCATCTCCAAGTTGAAATCAACAAACAAAGTGGTTGAAACAGGATAAAGATCCCAGAAGCATCAAAACTGGTTTTGTACTAACGTTAAGCTTCTTAAGCGGCTCCCAGATCAACATTATTGAAAATTTGTGAACAACACCTAAAAACTGAGTGTACGCCAAAATATTTGGAAGTAATTTTACCATTTAGATAAAGTTAGATTAGTGTATTCCAAAGATAGTTGATGTCAACAAAACATTTACGAAGCATGCGGGTTTTCTGTTGCTAAACTTTCAACCAAAACATATTTTGGTTGCATATATTGTGCATGCCTGCAGCACACTGACACAGTGACTGCTGGATAAGGTAATCCCCACAGGGTAAATAACAGATTGACTCTCAGCAGTGTTGTCTGGGCGGGGAGGCAACTCTAATCCGAGATGGGCAGTATAATGCACAATTTAGATCCTTGTAAGTCAGACTTTGTCACCAGACACCGACTGATATTACACAGCAGCATTTTTAGCTGCGGTAAATTTACGCTCTGACATTTCCTTTTTATTTGCATTTCTTCTATGACTGCAGGGACTGAATGCCAGCTCAGTGTTCAGTCAGAAAGCACTGACCTGAATGTGCAAGACTTTATAAATAGAGTTGTCTCATATTTACTGCTTTATTCCAGCCTAATGCACGGTTTGTCATGCGTGCTCCCCCCAGCTGGGCCCGTGACCTCTCTCCACAAATCGTTTTTCTCCAACAATTATTCGTTACGACAGTGATAACTCTGCGTCCTCACATCCTAATTCTCACCTGTTCAACGGTGTGGCAGCTCATCTGCTCTGCCTGCTATTTGTGTGAATGGGGTGTAATTTCAGCCCCCTCTCTTTACGCCAACGTGCGTGCACTTTAGCTGGCGGCGGCATTTCAAGGCGTTTTGGCAGCACACAGGGGAAATCATATGATTCAACCGCTGCCAGGTCACTTCTCACCTCATCACCGTCGTATAACATGAGTCCTGAAAGGTTTGGATGGAGGGGCATGCGTGTGAGTTTACCATTTCCTGCCCCGTTTCTGACCTCCTCTCGCAATAACAGAGTGAGATTTCTATTTATTTTTCTACAAATACATAATTTTATGCTGTACTATATTTCTAAAAGTAGATTTTAGTCAGTTGTGTAAATAAGTAGATGAAAATAATGCTCCGTTTTTTATAGATAGCTGTAGGAAAAGCAATAAAACCTATGCATATACCAAATGTACTAATAAAAGTGAAGTAGCAACAAAAGTTTGCACCGTTTATCACCTTTTCGTTCCATTTTCCTCTAAAAATGCTATAACAAAAATAAAAATTGCACAGATGAAGCTTACAAACTACTCACCATTGCAAACAACAGGACGGTTTCCAAACCTCAGGTTTGACCCTCCGGCGTGTGTTTACGGTCAAACTAATGTTTCTGTCCTGCCTCCTGAGGAACCCCGGTTTCTCTGCTGCTATTTTAGCCCTGGACGCAGGGCAGGAGCAGACGTGGGGACAAGCGTGTGGGAAGGGGAGGGAGTAGAGGGAGGGGACCAAACTGGAGCTGGAGTAGCCATGTCTGCTGAGGGAGGTGGTAGGTGGATGGATTGCAAACAAACAGGAACACCAACAGCAGGATGCAGGTGTAAGGCCTCTTTGCTCTCGTTCATACCCCTTTAACTTTTCAATAATACAACCACTGTTGTTTGTTTTTTTTGTTCAAGTGATTTGTTTTGCTTTCTTCCTCACTCCAAAAATATGCATGTCAGCTTAATTAGGCTCCCTGAGCCTGTTATAGTTATGAGTGCATAATTGCTTTCTCCTGTAATAAAATGCCAACCTGGTCAGGAAGTATCCTGCCTCTTTGCCTAGTGACAGCTGGAGACAAACGGTAAAGGTGGATTTTTTTTATTTTACCTTTTATTTTGCAATTATCTGCAACTTTTTCTTTTGGCCTGCGACATAAAATCCCAAATAAAACACATTGATGTTTACGTAAGGATTCAAGAGTTGAGAACACAACATAAAAAGCTGCATGGGTTTCAGCGCTCATGCCACCTGTAGCCACGCTTCACATTTACACCGAGTTGTAAGGACACAAACCTTCTGAGAAACTCAGAGAAGCTCCATCAGACATCATCTCCACTCTGTGACAGCAGAGGGGTTGGAAGCAGATCTGGTTCCTCTATTATCTGCCATCTTTAAAGGCCACTTTAAGCAGACAACACATCATCCCTATAAATGGCATGAATCTGACCAGCTGTTTCCCATAAACAGCCTCCATACTCATCACTTGTCTTCTAGGTGCCTTCTGCTACTGGAGGTTTCTTGCTCAACTTGAGCTGACAAGTAGCGTCGCACTCTGCCTCCAATTTTCCTCTGCAACTCGCACCATCCTTTCACTTTTATCCACTGCAGCTCATTTTTCCTGCTGCTTTCATCCCTCCTCAAGCTCAAGAACACACTTCGCCTCTCCCTGAATGAAACGCCTCCATTCAACACGGCGCCTCGCCCCCTCCGTTTTTACCTGCTTGTGTGAGATTCCAATGCAGCTCCCCATCCTGTATTCCATGTCCTCCTCCGGTGAAGTGACCCTGGCGCTACACGGCTGGCAGAGCACCTTCCTGCAGAACTGCATCGTTATCAGTCAGCCTCAGCATCACCAGAGGATCACTGCAGAAGCTTGCTCGTGCACGCCTCCATGTCGGTCCGTATGAGAGTGTGCATCACTGCCTGTGATGCCCGTGGTCTTCCCGTGGCATATATTCTCCAGTCACTGTTACATAACGCTCCCTCCAATCAAGTGAACGTGCCAGAAGCAGGGGTAAAAAAAAGCAACAAAAAAAAAAACAAAACAGGAGACGCTCTCTGCAGCCTGAGATCCAGCTGAGCTTTAAATCACAGCAAGGGAGAGCAGACGGAGGCTCTGCTTCAGAGGGGGAAAAAAAAAAATCTCAGCGAGGGAAGAGAGAGAAAGGGATGAGAGGGAGCGTGAAACGTGCCTGTCTCTTTAAAAGATCGAAGACAATGAAAGGATGCTTCTGGTGCTGCTGGAGTCAGGATGTCTCCGCTTTTTAAAACTGAATGCTATCCGTCGGCTCAAGACGAGGGCTTTGGCAAATAATGACTTTGTGTTTGACAAAAACAATTTTTAATTAACAAAAACATGTAACAGGGACGCTGCTTACGTATTTTCTCAATGAAGCACAACAGTGTAAACAAAGTGCGAGTACTGCATAGAGGCATAAAGTGGTGTGGATAAGATGAAAATAAAAGATAAAAGCTTTTAAAAAATGGAACAAATCTGTCAGACGTATTCAAAACTAATGTTACACTGAATCTTTCATCAAATAACATTAAAGATTAAACTAATCTGTTACTTTTTTTAATTAAATTGCTTAATAGTTGTAAGAAGGACTGATTCAGACAGTCTCATCATTATATTATCAAAGCTATAAAACACAATGCAAGTCATGTTTAATTTCTGACGTGGCACCAAAAAATTATCTGTGAAATCATAAAGAGATTTATTTTTCTACATGAAAAAAAAAAAAAAAAAAAAGCAACGCATACACACACACACACAAAAAAAACAAAAACCTTACAGACCAAAAACAGTAAAAAGATGAGTTGGTCCCATGAAACCCAAACAAAGGTGTTTGGGATCAAACGGGCGTAGAAAGAAGCTGCTATTTAAAACTAGTGAGACAGGACGAAGCGCCGCGTCACTCGCTCTGCGTCTCTGGAGGCTGAATTATTGTCTCTTTGATTTCAAAAACATCTATTAGCTCCTGAAACAAGAACATAAACAACAAAAGATACATTAGGAATAATTAAAACTACCGTACAAAAGTATCCACACCCATAAACTATTTCAACATTATATCACAGCACATAAAAAATAAAGTCCATGAGAGAGGAACCATTAGTATTCAGTCACCCAGAATTAAAACTTATACCAGTGTCTTTGTGTGTCTAAAATGTCGCCGTGAGGATGGTGTGTTCAACGTGATATGTAGGCCTGTCACGATAACAAATTTTGCTGAGCGATTAATTGTCTAAAAAATTATTGCGATAAACGATAATATTGTTTCCATACCTTTTGACACTGATTTAATGGAAATGACTAATAATGCATGTGATTTCCTGCCATAGATAGATACACTTTATTTTCAAAAGAACACATAACACTGGAACTGATAAAACAAAACAACCAAAAACAAAAATAAAATGGATTCTCAGTCTCCATTAACAAAAAACGTACTTGAATAAAAAGTAAACAACATAAAGCCAAAGTGGAAATAAATACTGCATTCAACCAAAAGAGTGCAGATTATGAAGTCTGTATACTATATTGGCCTTAAGTAATCACTAGATTTAAATAGAGAAGATGGGCACATCCGACTACCTGATGCAATAGTTCACACTACACGATTTTTTGCGCTATTTTCCCCTTATGATAATCTTAGATCGTTGGCCGATCTAAGATTGTCGCTGGTGATTTCGTAACTGATCATCCAGCAGTGTGGATCGTTGTGGCTGCTCTGATCTAAATCAGGAGTTTTCCCTGACTGGGAGCGTAATGCTGAATGTGACATGTAGCCAATCAGAAAGCGCGGACTCTCCTCCTGATTTCTGAGGGGAAATTACGGAGGGGAATCCCAAACAGCTGACACGGCGCAACCCGAAGTCCAGCAGACATTGGAGATGATATGTGGAAGCAACATTATTATTTATTCAACATTTTGTGCAAAGAATATAGAAATGACAAGGAGAGGAGTTGGAGCCAAATGGCTACCGCAGTTGATAAACCCGGTAAGTTTTCAGCTGTTCTTCGTTAACGTGACATGAATGGGTTATAATGATTTTCATTCAGTCAGGACTTTACGCTGACTCTAGCCACATGCATCACTGGTAGATTCTAGTAAAGCATTGATTAATGCCTGGTTTTAAAATGAATTAACTGGACTTGTAGCCATTATTTTGTGCCCATGTGGCTGGACACCACATGGCACGACGAACCCGATCGAACCGTTATACCTAGGATTTCTGTCGGCTAATGTGTGATCTCTCACGTTTTGAAAATGGGCCGACCACTCGTGTCGTGTGCGCTGGACATTACACTAAGGAAATAGGAAGGGAGGGTCAGTGAAGAGCACTGGAGTTGAGCCTTTTTTCATTCAGTGTCATCAAGAGAAAGAAAAAAAGGCAGGAAGAGACGATAAAGCCGATAATTAAAATGAGGTCGATTAATCGATTTATCGTTTATCGGGACAGGCCTAGTGATATGTAGTGTTAAGTTTTGTGAAGGCTACCAAATGTTATTTTCTCCTCATCTTACCAAAGCATCTTCTTCCACATGTTTGCCATTTCCCCTACAAGCATCATCACAGACTGACATCAGGACTTTTTAACAGTTTCTTATCAATAACGGCTTTGCTATCCCTTCCAAAAATGGCAGATTTATTGGGGTGAACGACTGATGCATTCTTCCACCTGAGCTGTGTATATTGGCAGCTCCTCCAGAGTAAGAGCTGGTGTCTTGGCTGTCATCCTGCTTAATATTCGCTTGCTCGGCCACATCTAGGTAGATCTGCAGTTGCAACTTTCTACCTGATCTGTCAGGTGTGTTTCTTGGTCTTCATGATGCTGTTTGATCATCTACCTTCATATTCACAGAACAGCTGGATTCAAACTGAACTTCTGAAGGCAATTGGTGGCACTGGAATTTATTTTTTGGGTCTGAAAGTAAATGGGGCTTAATATTTGTGAAAAAAGTTAAAATGATTCTTTCCCTTTCATAACTATTAGTACTTGGTGTTGATCTGTCACAACGTAATAAAATACATTACATCTCGTGGCTATGACGAAACAAAATTTGTTTTTCCAGAAACTGTAGCTGCTCACCCTCCATATTTTTGGGCTGATAGAAACAATGCACTGTTTGCGGCTGAATGAACCTGCAGCCTCCAGCTCTCCCTCTTCTACTGGTTCTGAAAGAATAAAAACATAAAAGGGGAAAAAAAATTATTTAATACCATGAGATTTTCCTTGTTATTCGACAACCAAACTGATAAACAAAAAATATCCTTCAGGCACTCACCTATACAAGGCAACTTGTCACTATCCAACTTAAGCCGTGCCAAACCATCCTGAAAAAACCAGAAACAACAATGTTATACCTACTCAGTATCACTAGAGGGCGACAAAGCTCAGTTAGAAGAAACGGTACATTTCTCACCCTGATGAGAAAAGACGTGTGGAAAATGTTCTCCACTGTCCGTGAAAACGAGTTGGGGTCGATGACAAATTCGTAGTATGATATTGGTGATGCTGTATTGAAGCAGACACACAGTAATCATGAGCATAATTCAAGACACTGAGATGTTTCAGACAGAGTACAAACATGAGGTATTAAATTACAGAACAGCTCTGAATACAAGCGTGAACAGACTCGGGCTGAATGGAAATCTGACTGATCAGACCACAATCGGAGGTGATCCGATACCCAGAGGTCCAACACCGAGACGCCATAGAGATTGATGAAAAGATGTCACAACCTGTCACACACTGGAGGCGTTACTGCTGGGTGTTTTTAATTCTTCACTGACTGGGTCAAACATAATCCAGTGATCATAAAAGTGGCAGCTGGAAACAATCATTATTTACATCCCAATCTCTTATTTATTAGAAGTTATTTTTTTATTATTACTTTCTCTGTTTTCTATAACAAAAAAAATAAACATAGAAAGTTACAGCAGAGGTTGACGACACATTTAAAGACCTAAAATTTGTCATGTAAAATAAAGTTGGTAAAATGTTATTGTAATATTTGAATAGAAAGGCTCACATGTCAAGATGATATCACTACTTTAAGTTTGTACAACAGATCTGGTCTCCATGGCAGAACTATCTACTCTTCACGCAGCTGCTCAATTGTAACTCATGTTTGAACACAACGGCCACAATTTGCTAAAGGTCAGGAAATCCCCTGCTCAATACTTTGCTCCTTAAATTTGGTTTTAAATTGTGTCCAAAAAAAAAAAAAAAAAAAGAAATGCTTTGGAAGATATTAGGTTGACAACTTATCACTTCTCTCCCCCAAAAAATATGTTTCTTCATAGAAAAAAAATAAATAAAACTTGGAGCTGGGAATTAGCGATGCGGCTGCAGAGGGTCTCTACCTCTCTGTGTCCTAACATCTGTACATCCTCAGCAAATATCAGTAAAGATGATTTCCAACTCACGGTCATCTTGATAATAACTCTTCAGATATCCCAGGATTCTTTCAACCTCTTTCTCTGTAGCTTCTTGGTGAGATTCTTCCATTTTCTTTAGCTAAAATGCAACATGATTTTGTTAGTAGCCGAGACTCGACGTCAGTCATTTTGTAATTTACGAGTAAGCTCTAAATTATAAAATAAAAGTAAATATTTTAAGAAAATCTGACACTTTGAAAATTCAGCTACGTTAGGTGGGTTTAAATTTGTAAAAGATGCAAGAAAAAAGTAGCCAGAGTAAAACATAAGATATTCTGAAATAGAAAAATCTGATTAAATGACTTTTAAAGCTCATTAGGAGACTGCTAAATGCACATACGAAAGGAAATTTAATTGCGGAGAAACGATCCTCATAATTCAAACTGCCGAGATCCGCTCAGATGTTTGTATCAAACTGCAGCCATGATGGTGCAGCCTGGAGCTACCTGAGTGGGCATTATCCTCTTGGCTTCTTTGCTTGGTGCTTTCCTTTGTCGCTCTATTCTCTGCTTCGGAGGCGGTGGCTCCGTGTAGAAGGATCCCATCCTGTTGAGAAAATTCAGATAAAGTCAGTGTTGTGAGATTCTAAGTAATAACGTTTACAAATTAAAGAGAAAAATTACAAATATAAAAACTATTCAGATCAGATATTTCAAGAACTCAAGTGTTTGATCCCTTTGTAAACCGCTAACTCACTCTCATGTTAATAGATGAGACTGAAAACA